CTATAATTTAGAAATATTAAATTATAATACATATGTATATATAAATCTTTTAGATATATATTGCATCCAACATATTAATTCTAGGCAAAAATATCTGGTGTGTAACACTTATCTCTATTTTTGCCTTATGTTCTGTATACTCTAGTGTACCATAGATACAATTTTATCATTTTCATGAATATAAATCCTCATATATATGACTGATAATTTAAGCACCAAGAAAAGCTCAAAACTCCAGACTTAAGTCCTAAGCTTTTTGTGCTTAATTAGAAAATGTTCCCTTCAAACTTTCTAACTCATGTATTGTAATGCCCTTACTTTATCTACCTGGAGGCTATGCACGTTTATTACTCAGCTTTCACTATGATTCAGTTAGGGGAAATGCAAATAGAACACTTCAGAAAACAATATAAACAGACCTGGGCTTCCACCTTATACGTAAATGGATATCACACATGCTTTATAGGGTTTTTGCAAAAAATTACTTCAACTTTGCCTAGATAGAAAATGTTCTCATTTTTCAATATATTATATGGGAACATTTTAATACTCACTTACTATGAACTCAACCAAAAATATTTATATTAAAAAAATCTTCATTTGAAGTTCTTAGGCAATCTTTCTTTTTTTTTCAGCTTTAATTGAGTTTATTGGTACATTTTAGGGATACAGTACAGTTACATTCATTGTTGGGATCTTGTACCTCTACATGACAAGTCTTGATTCTCATTTTTTTCCCTTACCCCTGCCTTCCCTTCACCCCCTCCTCCCCTCCCCATCTACAAACACTTTATTTTCCTCTTTATTCCCTATTACACTTCCCCTACCCATCCCACCTTCCCTACACCTTTAGCTCCTTTCTTCTCATTTCTAAATGACAGCAATCTTATTAAGATCTTATGTTTTATTGCAGATTATTCACACCAGAGAAACTATTCTGTATTTACACATGTGTGAGTTATTTATTTCACTTTGGAGTATATCTTCAATATGTATCCATTTTCCTATGAATGAATCTATTTTATCATTCTTTATGGCTGAGTAATATTCCATTTTACAGAAAAACCACATCTTCTTTACCCAGTTTCCAACAGATGGGCAAATGGGGTGTTTCCAAGTTTTACCTATTACAAACTGTGCCTCTATAAACATGGGTGTGCATACTTCTCTGTGATATGATTCTTTTAGTTCTTTTGGAAAGATACCCAGCAGAGGGATGGCTGTGTCAAATGGAACCTCCAGTCCAAGCTCTTTGAGGTATCTCCATATTGATTTCCATAGTGGTTGCACCAGTCTGCACTCCCACCAACAATGGAGAAGAGTTCCTTTCTCCCCACAACCCCGCCAAAAATTGTTGTTGTGTGATATCTTGATAGCAGCCATTCTTTGTGGGATGAGGTGTAATCTCAGTGTTGTTTTCATTAGGCAATCTTTCTTTGCACCAAATTTGATGACCACTGCCTTGGAATATTTCCTGCATTCAGAAAATAATTCCTCAGTACTGACTTACTGTTAAAAATATCCAGTAGCTACATTAAAATGTCAACATTTAGTAATGTTTTCCTCAGAATTCATAATTTAGGCTGATTTGAATTTTTTTCTTTTCATTGACTTTAGTGGTCCTTTTAGGTACACAGTACAGTTACATTTATCATTGGGATCATGTATCTTTACATGACACGTGTTGGTTGTCATTTTTTCCCCTTAACTCTGACACACCATCACCCCCTCCTCCCTTTCCTGTAGGATAAAGGAAATAAGGGAAAATAAAAAAAAATCTGAGAAAATGCTGATTTGAATTTTGTAAAAATGTAATACATTATGCATATTTGATAAATCATTCAGTTTTAAATAATTTTGTACTAAACTTTAGTTTTTAACAGCTCTACATGATTCAGTTTTCTCTCATACACATCCATAATGACAATGCACTTCAAAAACTGGATGAGTAGAATTGACTGCCCATGCTCTCACATCATTGTAGACTTATGGATCCCTAATCAGATTCTCAAATATACTTAATATTTATTTAGTACCCATAAACTCTTTTCTTAAAAAAATTACACTAAATTAGCTAATGCTCTTCTAAGCAGTATACAATGTACCTACTGCCCTGAGATGTACTAGCTTCTATGCATGTGTATATTCAGGTATGTCTGGGAAGTACTTATGGCTACTTTCACTGTTTTTCAGCTTTAACAGAAGACAGATCATGATATAATTTGTTACTTTATTACTTTGATGGTATCCTTTAAATATTGTTGTGCCTTTCTGCATTTATTCAAGTGAAAATTTCCAGACACTACATGAATGGAGGGTGTTTGTTTTAACTCCAACGTGTAATGCACACTCAGTATAACTATCACTATTTTTCCCAAAAAATATCCATCCTATCATATGTATCATAACACTCTTATGGTTTTGTTTCAACATTTTCTGATCAAGATATTCCAATTTACATTAGTGGACACTGTACAGGAGGATGTGAGCTGGCAAATTAATCTGTAAGGCATGTGGTATTTACCTGATGATAAATGTGCAATGCATTTAGACTTATGCAGTACTCTCTAATCTATACTCTGTACTCCTTAGTAGAATTATGTAGACAATCCCCCATTTCCACCACATTTGGGCACCTAAATGAATTTGGACATCAATAGTTGGGTTACTGCATGTTTTCTTTTCAAATCAAACACTCCACACGACTAGAAATTTTATTGTTAAGGGCACTAGAGCCTGTGATGATGTAAGATGCTAATATATTACTCAGAACTATTTATGGTATTACAGCCTTTTCTTTATGTATGTAGGTTTTATATCCATGAACATCTTTGCTATGATCTCTGAAATACTGTCCACTTATTGTGAGGCAAAAGAGCCCACTCACTCTTTAGTAGAAATTTTTATTTCTAATTACTCCTGTGTGCCAAGATAGAGATAACAACTAGGGAATCAGAAATCCATTCCATCTAACTACGTGCATATATTTGCAGAAAGGAAATTTAAAAATGTCCCATTATGTAAAAAAGGAAATTACAACTTGAGGTACCAGAGTATTTCATCTGAATTTCATTAAATTGTATTTTTCTCATTTGTTCTACTGATGATATCTACTTTGAATTGTAACTGTATATTATGTAGTTATTACCTATTCATAATTTGTGGAGCATCCATTATATGTTTAATCCGTGCTTAATGTTATAGTAGGAACTAATAATGAACTCAGATATTGAACACTTTACATAGTAGTAAGGGTGGGGAAAAGATTACAAATTAAATTGTCAGTGTGAGTCTGATACTCAAATGACACATCATAATGGTTTCAGCTGACACTGTCATATTTACCATGTATTTATATATGTAAAATTAAACTCCATTCAGTTTGGGGGGTTGGAGAGAAATCTAAACTGGGTTGCTTTCACTTGTACACAATGAGTAGGATGATTTACAAGAAAGGAGTGGGATGTGGACAGCTTCAAGGAAAACATGGTGTTGGAGCAGGGATGAGATCACAATTAATCATTGTAGACCTTCTCAACCTTTGATCACTACTTCTAAAGTCAGATATTCTTTCTAAAGTGGGTGAATCAGTTTTAACCCTTCTCTCCTCAGTGATCTACTTGAGACTGTTAAGGGTAAAATAAAATAAGAAACTGGTACTTCCTGGAGGAACAGGAAAGAGAAATGGGTGCTTGGTTTGTCAGAGAAGATAAATGCCAGGATTTTCCTGGTAAATGCCCTGCATGTGTTAGACAGCCTTCTATAAGTATACCTTCAGTCATTTCTATCCAACAACTTGTATTTAATTACATATAAATGCAGTTCCCCTATTTCCTTTTAAAATAATAATATAGGTACTTGTTCTCAGAAATATTGTGCACATATATTGAACCAAATTACATAGAATACAGATGTTAGATGCTGTTATTAATGCATTGCACAGTTATTAATTCATGATGTTATGGTTATTTTCAGCTTCATCATCATCATCCTCATCTCTGCCATAACTCTTTTGAGATGCTGAGGATATAGTTTCCTGGCACCCCTACTATGCTATCATGGGTTAGATCTCTATGAGAACCAGTTGTCAGTGTGATAATCAAGTACATATATTTCACAGTCCTCTCAGCTGAAGCTGTGCACAATTATAATGTCATCTTGCCGCCCAAATGTCTTCATGATGAAAACTAATGCTTCGAATATTCCTGCTTCCATCCATAATATTTTTAATTAGGCAGTGTCTCTACTATGGAATGTCCAGATGTAACTCATGCTCCTCCTCTCCCTGAGGACCAGAAAAAGCTTTAGGACAGCCAACATATTTGTTATGGACAATGTCAAATATCAGCTTCCAGTTTTAGGTAAATATGATAAAGGAGATACTGATATCACAAGATATTAAAAAATAAATACTGGAAGAAGAGACTGGTTATGTCATATCACACAACTTTGAAATCTGAATGCATACAGCTTACAATTATCCACATTGCTCCATGGAATTTTAAACTTCAAAATATCTGAAATTCAATGAAAGTTAAAAAAATTAAAGTTACAAAAATTTGGGGACTCTTCCTTTACATAGAAGAAACATTAAGAGTATTATCATTGTTATTTGTTTCCTTTTTAAATAAGTTCCTAAGCTTTTTATTTTCATTATTCATTGTGGAAAGATACACATATCTAAAGGTACCATTTTAAGCAATTCAAAGTACAGGGATTGGCTACACACATTATAATAGCTTCTGTGCAACTGTTGATATTATCCATATCCAGAAATGTTTTACTTCCCCAACTGAAATTTGAAGTATTATGAAGAACTAAATACTACCGCTCAAGCACACATCACTCTGTAATGAAATATCATATAAACTTAAAGACTTTAAACTTCAGAAACAATAAAAACAAGGAGGAAGAATTTGTAGCGAAGTTTTAGATTTTATTTATTTATCACATTTACTAAACTTCTTTCTAAATGTTTGGAAAAGGCTCTAGAATCAGATTTACCAATGATGGAGCCTCTTTATGGTGCTACTGATGTCCTTGTTCCTCAGGCTGTAGATGAAGGGATTCAGCATGGGAGTGACCAGAGTGTACATCACTGAGGCCACCATGCCCTTGCTGGGAGAATATGATGAAATTGAGCCAAGGTAAGTTCCAAGGCTTGTTCCATAAAATAAGCAAACAACTGACAGGTGAGAACCACAAGTAGAAAAGGCTTTGTACCTCCCCTCAGATGATGGGATTTTCAGAGTGGCAGAAACAATTTTATAGTAGGAGAAAATAATCCCTGACATAGGAAAAAAACCAAATAGGATACCAAACACATATGTGACTATGTTTTTTGTTAAGGTATCGGAACATGAAAGGTCAAGGAGTTGAGAAGGGAAACAAAAGAAATTAGCAATTTCCACATCTTTGAAACATGTAACTTGTAAGGCAATTAAATTGTGTGCCTGGGAATTCAAAAGGCTAAGAAAGACTGACAGCAAAAGTAATAAGACACAGAGGCGAGGATTCATAATCATTGCATAATGTAGGGGGTGGCAGATGGCCACAAAACGGTCATAGGCCATTACTGTCAGAAGCACATTATCTGTACACCCAAAAAGGACAAAAAGATACATCTGTGTCAGGCAGCCCCCATAGGAGATGACCCTGCTTTGAGTCGAGATGCCCAAAATCATCTTTGGGACTGTAGAGGAGGTGAAACAGATGTCAGTCAAGGACAGGTTGGAGAGGAAGAAGTACATGGGCGTGTGGAGGTGGGAGTCAGAGCTGACAGCCAGGATGATGAGCAGGTTCCCAAGCACCGTGACCAGGTACATGGATAGGAATAGTCCAAAGAGGACAGGCTGAAGATCTGGATCTGCTGAGAAGCGCATGAGATAGAACTCTGAGACAAATGTGAGATTATGTCTTTCCATGTTGCTTGAGGACCTTTAAATAAATTTCATCTAAAAAATGAAATAAAAAACATCACACAAAACTCTGCACATATTCTGAGTTCAGGTATTCATAAGCAAATCATCCTCACCAGAAATTCACAAACTTCAGTAGCATTTGCTCTCTTTTGATAAATCCCACTATCAAGTACCTAGTCTTGTTGGGTCATTTACTACTTTCTCTGAAAAATTACCTAAAATTTGCATTTTTTCTATCATTTCTCTTGCTCTTCTGTCCCCAAAGGAATCTGTTGTCAATAATTTTATGAATAGATTTTCTTGTCAATATTTTCAGTCCTACATTGACTTATGAATCCACAAGAACTTTTATTAAAAATTTAACTGAAAGTGACCTAAAACTCTTCTAAATTGTGTGTTTCAGAAATATATTCCCCCATAAATAGACTAGATAATATCCACAAGTAGCGGATTTAGTTCTTTACAGCCTTATGAGAGGAGAGGGAGAGGTATTGAGGGAGGGAGAGCAAGGCCTCATTTACCTTGTAAATTAATTATTATGATAATATTTTGAAAATGCCTGTCCTTTCCCTGTCACTCATCTTAAAATAGTTGTATGTTATAGTTCATGTATTTTTTTCAATGAGTTTATTGGTACTTTTTAGGCATATAATACAATAAATTTATACATTTCTGATTTCCAACAAATAACACACATAAAAATTCAATTTCCTTCACAAAATCAGTGACTCATTTTTACCTATAACCTCTAACTCATCAGATAAACTTGCAAAATATGCCTGCCATCTTTTTAGGAATGATCTCTTTATGATACCTCACAAAGAAATGTCATCATCACATGAGGAACAGCATTTCAATTTTGCTTTGGTTTTAGTGGCTGTGCGAAGTGGTGACACTGAAGAAACCATCGTGTTAGGGGTCATTGACCTGTTACCAAGGGCTGAAAGTGTGTGAATCTCTCTTCCTCTCTGTGCTCATAATGGTTGAGGAGAATAACTTTCATACTCATGTGTGGTAACTAAATAAATGTAGAGCCTATTTAGCAGTTGTGAGATGTATTAGTCTCCATTGCATTAACTTCTGATGTGACCTTTATACTTCCCTCCCTTGTATGAGCTCTAGGCTTCATTTGTTCTTCTGTCCTAGAAGGTTGAGGTTGAACATCATGTTATTTATGAGCTTGGTCTTTTTTCCTAATGTGAGAGTTCATGGCTATAAATTTGCCTTGCACAAGTGCTTTCATTGCTCCCCATGAGTGAGATTTTGTTTTTAAAATAAAGATGTACACCATTAAACAAGTAGGAAATTTATTAAGTATTGCAAACTTCATTCCAAAGGCAATGGAGCCTGAAATTATATGAAGTATTTTTCTCTTTGTAACTTAAAAAAATACAAGAATATCTATGTTGTGTTTTATTTTTAAATAACTCATAGAGATGCAATTAAGTGGATTATTGGGTCCATGTGTCTGTGACACAGAGAAAAAAAGCAAAAGCTATATGGTGTTGTCTTTACATCTATGGGGTCTTTGTGAAAGGAGTGGAGGTGCAGACAGTAAGGTACCAAGGATCTTCAAGGGATTATCATTAAGGATAGGTATGGTTACTGAGGGAAGTGTCCGTTCTATTTAGATTTTTAGTTTTGATGTCTCCTTTGGACCACATAAGCTATAAGTCTGTAAAATCAGCTGTAAACTAATGTACATCATTCCTCCCAACACATATGTATATAATCACACAAATACAAAATATCCTGCAACAGAAATAGAAAAGCAGTAACTATAGGACACAGGAGATAACTGGTAAGAATATACTTATTACTGATAGTAATGATAGCTAAATTTCAATTTGATCTAATTTTATGCACATTAACCCTAAATAGAGCACTCCTTATCTACATAATCTTTATGCAGTTGCTGGAAGTAAAATTTAACACTAATTACAACGTTCTCTCAGAGATACTAACAGTACTCCCTGCATCACAGAAATAATAAGCAGAGCTGAAAGGATTAAGAAATAAATTCACAGATGCTATCTGATACACTGAGAAGTTTCCCTGTTTCTAATCCACAGAACGATTTATGCAGAGGTTCAGAGTTGCTAATCATAGGTACTTTAGAGGCACATTTGCAACTCTCCTATTTCCTTAAGAAATGGAAATCAAATGAAATCAAGACATGACTTTTCCACATTTGCATTGGAAAACAAGTGCAAACATGGAGAAGAAGGTGAGAATTTCAAAAATATCCTACAGTGGTGTCAGGAGAGAAATCTGTGCTGAATGCTTAAGGGAGTGCTGTCTCAGATCTTTGCCTGTTTTCCGCATCTGTCTTTGGTGGACGCAGCTGGGTTCATTCATTGTTCTACTCTGTGAGCATTCAGAAAACAGCAGCAGTAAGGGGCAATGGCCAGGGGGCCTCTGCTGAAGTGACAGATAATTATGTTCTGCTTTTGCTAAGAGGCAGCCTAACAGAATAACCCTGTGTCTGTAACCGGATATCTCAATTTCACCCGCTCTTTTTTATATATAATAACCTAATGCAGGTTCCATTATAACAACAGAAGCTTCCATTTTTTAACAAGCAATATCAATGTAAGCAAATATAACTACAGGAAGACATATAAAATGAAATAAAACAAGACAAATAGAAAAAATTTTCAGTTCCTGGAAGACAGGAAGCCCTGCAATCCAGTTCCTGATGCTATGGTTATTGCTTTCCTGTATATCCTGATTACCTTTATAATTCTTTTAGGGCTCTCAGGAGACCCTGCAGAAAGGCAATCTTTCTGCTGTTTGAGGGAGATATTGATGGAAGTAGAAACAGGATGTATAAAAGCTGATTTGAAATAATAATTCATCTTTCCCAACTACACCCATAATCATAAAATGTATGCTTCTTATAACTTATATTTTTCATATTTGTACCTTTTATGTGAGACTATTGAAAATATCACCCTTCTCCTCAGGATAAGGAAATAATTGCTTAAATATCTTTTTCATATCAATGAATCTTCTTGCACTTACTGGGTGATGCTGTTTTTAGCTGGGTCATAGTGAAGGAGAGCAGATCCAAAGACCCTCTTATGTCTGCTGCCTAGTGAAGGCTCAGTCTCTGACTTTGGGATTGAAATTTACACATAGAAGCCTCATAATACAGATGACAGAGCTTAGGACACAGGTATAGAGCTGGACACAGGACTGGAGTCACTAAAGTACTGGAGGCTGATTATCAACTGCTCTGTGACCTTGGGAGCTCAGTGCACTGAGAAAACTCATAATTAGCCAAATTGGTCCATGCCATCCAAGTCTCTAAGGATTTCTAAACACTAGTGGAAGGAAAAGGGTTTTACATCTACTCAGAAAAAGCTAGTTTGTCCTAATCACTTCTGTCATTTATAAACAATGTTAAAATTCAGACTTGCCTTTATTTTATTTTTGAAGGAAAAAGTGCATAACACAATTACACGTTTAACAAAATATACTTGATCAGTGTACACTTCAATGACTTTAACATTGTTGTGAGTCACTCAACATCATATATCCTCAGGAATATTTCATTTTGAAAACTGAAAATTTATGCTCAACTTTACAGTGCACCCTTCATCTTCCCAGCCTCGTACTATGAAATTAAGACCATTAAATTATAATTCTAACACAACCAAAAAGTTTGGAAGTTCTGAGATTCTACTCTGGTCTCCCCAGGGTACTTTTATCTACTTTGTTACTCAGACTATGAAGGGATTCAATAAAGGTGTTAGCATAATGCTCATCTTTGCAGCTGTCACATTTCTGTTAAAAATTAAGTAAGTTGGATCAATATATATTCTAATGCCTGTTCCACAAAATAAGCACACAACTAACTGTCAGAACTCAAAAGTAGAGAAGATATGATTTTTTTCTATCAGATGATGATTTTCAGATGATGAAATAATTTTTAATATGAGAAAATAATCTGTAAGATTAAATCACAAGAATATAGCAGTTAATACATCACTATGGTACTGAGAAATTTGTCCAAATAAATATTGAGAGGGCAGTGTACATAACAAATTAGGAAACATTGAAGTAGGTAAGCTTTAGCATAATGAAATTATGCTCATAGAAGTTTGAAAGATAAGCAAAAGTAAAAAACAATACTGGGACTCCAGAAAGGCAATGGTTTTTGATGGCTGAATAACTAATTGGGTTGCAGAGGGTCACAAACTGGTCAGAGGCCACCACAGTCAGGATAATGACATGCACACATCCAAAGGTGAAGAAAGGTACTTGTGTTAAGCAGCCCACTTAGGAGATGACTCTTCTCTGGGGTTGGAAGCCCTCAATTATTTGTGGAACCCTGGTGGAGATAAAACAGACAGTTGTTTTTAACTGCTGTGTATGCATGGTCCTTGCTTGGTGTTTTTGTTTGATCTTGGCTTTTAGCTGGGTTGGTTTCATCTAGAATACTTCCCTGAGTGCTGGCTTTACAGTCTATCTCTTGAGATTATCTTTTCCATGAAAGGTCTTTATTTCTGTGTTTAAGGAAGCTTTCTAGGATGTTATTCTGGGATGGAAGCTGTTTGCCCTCAGTGGCTGAAATGCTTCACTTCAAGCTCTTCTGGCCTTTAAGGTTTGTGTTGAGAAGCCTGATGTAATTCTAATGGGTTTACCTTTATCTAATTTTCTCTCTCTCTCTCTCTCTCTCTCTCTCTTTTGCTTTTCTCTGATTTTAAAAATTTTGATTCTGCACCCATTTTTTTTTTTGGCTATCTGACAATACAGAAAGGATATGTCTTGGTGAGATTCTTTTTTCAAAATATTTGTTTGGTGTTCTGGATATCTCACTGACTTGTATGCTGTGCTCTTTTCCTGTACTTGGGAAATTTTCTCCTACAGTTTCTGTAAATATATTAGTAACTCTGTATGTATTATCTTCTAGCTTTTTTGTAACTCCACTTATATTAAGCTAGTAATTTTAGTGTCATCCAGAAGCTTCTTGGTAGTCTTTTTTTGTTCTCCCATTTTTTATGGCTTCTCTGAGT